TATATATATTTTCTTAAGTTTTCACGGGTACTTACATGTATGGCCTTCAGCTTTGTTCGGGTATTTTCCCACGTCATAGTAGTGGTGCTTTTAAAGTTGTAGCAACGTTTCAGCAGAATCTGATGATGGCAGATGAGATTCTGCTGAAACGTTGCTACAACTTTAAAAGCACCACTACTATGACGTGGGAAAATACCCGAACAAAGATTCAAAGAGGAAAATAGGCTTTAAAGAAATTAAAGAGGTCATTTTGTGTTATCCTCGTTCAAAACAAACTCTGAAAGTGGACAATTGTGTTGCCGTTTCCCAGGTAGTGCATACATTGTGTATGGATTTAAACATCTCCCGTGAAATGCAAGAAAATTCTGCTTTGCAACCATGGCATGCTTTGGCTGCAATGGCTGCGATTAGTGGTTTTGGGTTGGATTTAAAACCAACGTTTCTCAAACTTTAAAAAGTATTGACTTCAACTCCCAGAATTCTGTCTGGGGAATCCTGGGAGTTGAAATCCGCATCTCTTAAAAAAGTTGCCAAGATTGAGAAATGCTAATTGAAACCATCCTCTTCTAGGGTACTAAAATTTTAAATAGCTGTGGGAAACCAGGAGTATAAATGGAAATACTGCGTATTCCAAAGGGAGGACCTAGGGATTGGCCCAACAGCGGGTGAGAAAACTTTTGGATGGAATTTCTTATTCAAGTCATCCTCGACTTACAAAAGTTCCTTTAATGACCGAAGTTACGACGGCACTGGAAAAAAAAGTTCCCCACTTATGGCCATTTCAGCATCCCCGTGGTCATGTGATCAAAATTCAGGCGCTTGGCAATGGCCTCGTATCACATGATCCCCACTTGCGACCTTCTGACAAGCAAGTCAATGGCAACTCAACAGCAGTGTAACTAACTTAACAACTGGAAGGATTCACTTAACAACGGTGGCAAGAAAGGCTGTAAAACGGGGCAAAATTCACTTAATGCACGCCTCCCTCAGCAACAGAAATGTTGAGGACGACCTGTATTTATCTCTGCATGAAGAGCAAGAAAACACAAGAGTCGTAAATACATACAGAATCCATTTTTATTTAACTTAATCATGTAGTACTGTAACTACTAGAAAAAAAAGCAGAGGAAAGAGAACCCTAAAGGAGCATCAGCCATTCAAAATAGACAAAGGTTCTTTTTTTTTTTTTCTTTTTTTCTTTTCATAATGTAAAGAATCCAGAGTATATCGCAACAGGAATAAATTCTTACAACAGAATATACAAAAACATTGATCTTTCCCCCCAGCCCCCATCATCTACTGATTCATTTTAATATAAACACAGGAATTTCTTTTAGGAATAATTTATACACAGCAAGTCTTCCTGTAATAAATTGGCATGTTATTTTATTCGGGTTTTTTTTAATATTTTTTTTAAAAAAGTTTATATTTTAAACAAGGTTAAGTTGGAAAATCTATTTGTAAATGCATTCAGTTCCTTAGCACTTTCAAGTCGGTTTGTTTGTGTGTCTGTGTGTGTGTGTGCGCGCGCCAGGGAGGGGAGGGTGAGGGCAAGGGTGTCATTTTTAAGTGGGTTTTTATTTATTTATATTTATATTGTATTTTATTGTCCCAGAGGTAGAAGATCTCTGTGGACAATCCTTTCTTTACAAACCTCACTGGTTTAGAAAACAGAAAATTCCATTTCAAAAAAAAAAAGAAAGAAAGAAAGAAAGTAACAAAACCACTCAAAATCATTTAGGCAAAGAGGAAGATTTGTTTCTGAGATTTAAAAAAAAAAAAAGATATTGTCTTCAGACTTTTTGTTTAAATACTTACAATAAATAGGGACCTTTCAAAGAAAATGGTCTTTTAAAAGAAAGCTTCCAAGTTGTTAAATATGTACATAAATCTCTCTGAATCACTCTCTCTGAAGTCACCTATTATTCTTTTTTCACAGAAAGGAGAAAGAATGGCTGGACATAAAATTCTCTTTCCGTGCAATGAATTAAATCGTAGAAGTGACATTTGCATCAGTCGCTGATGAGGCCGGCAGGGTTCTCTCGGCCTAAGTAACAATAAAGCAATCTATGCAACCAGAATTCCAGTCCTGAACCCATTTCCCTTGGAAGCCCACTCCTCTGCTTCCGGTATTCATGCAATTCCAAGAAAAATAGGTTTAAGATGGATACTAAGAGACCGCAGGGCTCAATCCGTTTTCTTAACCAGTAAGGTTTTTTTTTTTCTCTCTCTCTCTCTCCTCAACCTGTTATCTAACATGGTAAATGTGAAACGATGGATGGATGATCCCACCTATCCAGAGCTCTCTGGAAGGCTGGGTTACTGAAGATACAGAACACAATCTGGGCTTAGGGTGCGCACAGGGCAATGCACAAGTTGTGATTAAGAAATGGCCACAGGTCTCTCTCTTGGATTGGTGTAAAGGTAGTAACATCGGTATCCTGAAAAAAAAAAGGGGGGGGAAGGAAAACCACATACACTGAAAAGTGCTCTTAAATCATTGTTAGCATTTATAAACTACAAATGTTTATATAAACTACTCTAGTGTCTTGCAAAATGTAATGAAATATGTCATTTGTTTCTGTAAACCAGATCTTTTGTCAACTGACTACCCGTAATCTACTGGACTGAACAGCCCCAATGAAAAATGCTAATAATGGATTGGTAGTGGATAGGAAGGATACAGAATTCAAAGCTGACATTTACACACACACACACACACACACACACACACACACACACGTATGCGTGCAAAAAAGCTGTCTGGAACTTGCGTTAATGAGGATGGCCAGAGGGCCGTAATCTATCCCTTTCAAATTCTCCAAAATACATGGATGGAGGGCATTACTTCCCTAGACTCCAGTGGGAGTTACCTTCCATTAAGATGCTTTGAGAAACCTACTTGGTTTGTTCTAGATGCATGTAGAGAATTGGTTGTTCTAGATCAGGGGTCCCCAAACTTGGCAACTTTAAGACTTGTCGACTTGGTCCGTAAGTCTTAAAGTTGCCAAGTTTGGAGACCTCTGTTCTAGATGCATGTGGAGATTTGGCTCAGGGTCAAAGTATTAGAAGCAGCAGCGGCAGCCTGTATGAAGTTCTGTTTAGTGTTATTTGATTCCACATCAGAAATGCTCCAGAACTAATATCGATGGAACATCTAGAACTCCAGACTTCAGACTCGCAAGTTCCAAAGTAGTTAGGATTCCTGGCCACGAATGTTCTCGTAACTGTAAGCACGCTCAACTTCGGTCAACCTGTGTTTTGCTGGCCAGCACTTCTGCCCCATAACTTGTGTTTGGACTGAACCTTGTGGATCTTAAAACCTACCAGAAAGACATGGAAGCGTTTCAACTTGGAACCCACCGGTCCTTCAAACAGGACTCACAATTTGTTGAACGAAGCCCACGTTCTGTATCTTCAGCACCTCCAGGAAAAGAAAGCTCACCCTGAAAGAGCATGCTCATGATTTGAACTGCGGTCGATCCAACACCATGAACCGCCATGGATCAAATCCTTAGCCCTAGTCAGCTGTTCCAAAAATCCTAGCCATGGAACAGGGAAGGAACAATTTTCCAATTTTCCTACCTCTCATCTCCCTGGGATGGGAAAGGAATGTAACCATTCTCCATGACGAGCAATTTTGAGTGATTTGCCAAAGGTCAGACCTTTCCCATTGATAAAGAAAGTTAGGAAGGGGCCAGGATTAGACCAGAGTTGGGGTCACCAACATGGCACCTTTTAACTTAAAACAAGAATATATGTGTGTGTGTTTTTTTAAAAAATAAGTGGTTTGTCTTTTTGCAAAATCTGATGATCTTATATGGGATTTGGGCAAAGTTGTCAAACATAACTTTTTAAAAATGGGGAAGGGGTGAGTGTTTATGGTGCCTGAAATAATTGCTGACCCCTCAGCCAGAAGATATATGAATGAATTACCTGAATAGACAACGGGAAAACATCTTGGACGAACTTAAATAAAAGTCACAATGAAATGTCACCAACTACTGGAATGAAATTTCATTTAAAAATATAACTATATCAAACATTATACCAACAACAGGAGTGTCATTCATATACCCAACAGATTGTACTAAACAACCCTCTGTATTTCCCAGAGATCTAAGCAGCAGATCCACTTTCCAACCAGTTCTGGGTTCAACTACCTTTGGAGCATCAAACTGGCACGTCGATGCTAACCAACTTAAACTCTTCACGGTATGTGGAGATGCAGAGGAGGGAGCTAAAGTGGGAACCAGCTTTCTCGAAGGCTCTGCTTCGGGTGTCATTACTGACATCAAAAACTAAACCAACGACGGGTAGCAGTTCTATTTTGACACAGAAGTCCTCACTCTGAACCCAAACCATGTTCTGCACATCACAGAGTAACCAAGGGACTCAGGCCGTTCGTTGAAGGAAAAGCCATCTCAAAAATTAAAAGTGAATAATTGTGGGGTTGTTTTTTTTAAAATGCAGCACCATTACAATTTAACAAACACCATTGGGTAGCATCTGTGCAAAGGCTCTAAAAAACAAGCACAATACATGTTCATTGACCTCCTTACAGGATGACTGGAAGGCAACTATCCAGCTATTGATAATTCCAAAGCAAAAGGGACTGGAAGTAAAATTGCAGACATAGTACTGTCTAATCCAGCCTTCCAAAAATCTTCTGGTTTTGAGACACCCATAATCCCTAGCCAGGACAACTATTGGTTACCCTCTGCTGCCCTATCTCCAGAGTATTATATGCAAAGGTGTACAAATAGGCAATCCACGCAGAGCTGGATCCTTCCTTAATGAGAAGTGAAAAGTCCGAAGCAGTCTTGAATTGATTTCATAGGGATGCCGTAGAGAATATGGTAGAAGAGACCATATTCTACCATAATGCCTCAAGATCACCTTGTGCGATCGAATAGTAACACATCCAAGCCCCTAGATTGAGTCCTGCTATGGAACGTGGTTTGCGGAGAACCAATGGTTTAAACCAGGGAAGTCCCTCCTTCAGTTGTGTTGGAACTGCAATTTCCTGCACCATTCAAGCTAAGCCTTCTAGATTTGCACAACAGGTGTACCAGCAAGCACTGCTTGTTCATTGCAAACTGGAAATGGTGTTACATCCAAGTACTGGGAGATCTGGGATGGGGTGGGGACATAATTTGAATGAAGAATTTAGAAAAGATGGGCTTAGAAAAGCTCTTTTCAGACTTTCGTGCATGAATGGGACAAGTGGTCCAACTTTCTGGTCTCCTTGGTGAAGCCAATTCGGTTCTACGCTTTGATCATGACATCCAGCAACTGAGATTGTATCATTTCAATCCAAACCCATCCAGAAACTAAACTAAATTCTCCATCTCTTATAAACCCTGCAGAAAATTGCAGCCTTGTGCCCAATATCAAGCCAACACATTTTTGGGGGGGTGGGTGGGTGGGAAATGCATAGACAACATGGGTTCACTATCAACCGAAAGATGGTATGAAGGGGAAAAAAAGGCATAGATAATATCAACCGGGGCAACACACCAAAAGATTGCAATAACAAAACAAAAAATATATGTGGAAACCAACATGAGTATTTAAGAATATGAATGCAGAACACTATGGTAGATTTGAGGTGATTTGATTTGAGGTGAGCTCACCTGTGACATAGGCCTACTTATTTAATTACACAACTGCCTTATTTCTGAATGCTTATGAAATGTATGTCCTGATGGGCATTGTAAGGTTAGTTTTCTCTCCTAATATTTTAAGCCACCTACAAAACAACTAAAAGTAATAACATGGACAGTTTAGAGGGGAAAAAATCATCTGAAACCAGTTGAAAGATCTGAAGATCTAAACAGGAGATTAGTATGTGCAAGAAAGGAGAGGCCACCACTAAACTCACATACAAAAACACAATCACTTGAAAGAACAGAAGGACATCAAGCAAAGCATAGCCAGGATCTGCTCCTTACCAAAACCCATTTTAGAAGCAAGCATGGCCTTAGATGCCTTTCATCTCTCTAGAGGCCAACTAGTGGACATTGACACAATTAAGGTTTGTATCATCTAGTTGAGCATGACATAATTCAGATGCAGCAAGCAAGTCATCCTTCAACCTGGAGTCTCCAGATGTGCTAAGAACGCACACCCCAAATTCAGGTGGAGAATCCAGATTCAACCCAGCTGGATGACCACAAACTGGGTAAGAGGATTTCAAGCTCTGTGGCTATGAACGGTGGCCAGAAAGGAGAACCACCATCTTACTGGCAGATCAGTGAAGCCCAGGACTCGTCACCTGATGGTTTCCACGACTGCAAAACATTGTTTGGAGCAGAGATCTCCAAACTTGGCAACTTTAAGGATTTAAGGATTCTGGGAATTGAAGTCCACAAGTCTTATAGTTGCCAAGTTTGGGGACCCCTGGTTTGAAGGTTCAGGGGAAACAATCCAAACAGTCGACATTTTTTTTCAGCTACAAACACACACCGCGTCTTTATGTTCCTGCCAGGTCACTCCTAAAAGTTGGTTTTGGGGAACTCCATTTTGCTGATCTTCCAGAGAAATACAGATCTACTGTATGTTTAGGTAGCTATCACTTGGTTCCAACACCTCTTTCAGGGTTTTGGAGGCACCTGGAGACCTTCAAAAGGATTAGCCCTCCTTCTCCATGTCCACATTTGACATGTGACTAGAACCTAATCAACCTGTTAAAAGCTCCCCATTTTTAAACCCTACTTCATCCCAGCAGATAATCTGTTTTAACTCCACCAAACGATGCCCCTGGGAGTTTTCACCTCCCTGTTCTTTTTAACTAGAGCAGGGGTCCCCAAACTTGGCAACTTTAAGACTTGTGGACTTCAACTCCTAGAATTCTCCAGCCAGCTGGCTGGAGAATTCTAGGAGTTGAAGTCCACAAATCTTAAACTTGCCAAGTTTAGAGACCTCCGAACTAGAGGGACAGCAGCTTTTCATTTTTACTCAAAACCAAGTGAAAACTGCTTTCAATCCGCAACATACCACAGAGACAAAAGCATTTGTAAGTGTACAGCCGCAACAACTTTCTTCTCCAAGGGATTTGTGTGTGTGTGTAGGTGTGCATGTGTGTTCAGCAGTGACCTCCTTCTCTAAAAACCTGGAGGATGTGGTTTGTATAACAAATGAGGTCGCCAGTATTCAACAGTATATTGTCGGCTGCTGAGAAAATGTGAGATGTATATTTTTATATATACACACAAAAAAAGAGTGAGGTAGATAAAATGTTTGAAAATGAAATAAAAACTGTCCCGTCATAACTCAGAAAAACAAAACAAAACAAATCCTTATTTTAGTATTTAAAATGTATTATGGGGCACTTCTACAGTGATTTTAACTGAGAGCACAAAAAATAAAATAAATAAAAAGAATCCTACATAGAATACTTTTTTTCTTTTTTCTTTCTCTTTTTTTTCCTCAAAAAAGGGGGAAAGAGTTAACTATGGAGGGAGGTGAAAAGGTGGTTGGGACTGAAGCTATACAAGCGAAAAAGGAAAGAAAGCACTACAAACGTAACTTTTATCTCCAGTTACAATCTAGCAGTTTATATTTTAATTCTTTGTTCTTACTCAAACACAAACCCCCCAGCCAAAAAAATATTATTTTTTTTTAAAAGAGAGGAATCAATATTTCCAACCCAGAACAAACCTTCATCTGCTGCCATATTTTGTTTTTTGGTTTAATCAGTGCTAACACAGAATTTCCATGTTGGACTACAGTTGGATTAAGCCAGTATCAACAACCTCTTGGGTTTCTCCTCTTTTTCAACCAAACCCATGCAACACCTTAATTTGGTTTCACCTCTGATCATTTATCCCAAAACTTCTATCCATCCACTATTTCCTCTTTTTTGGATGCAGCAGTGGCCAAAGACACCTGGAAACCAGAGGAAAGTTGAGTGACCTTGCAAAATCACCACTGGTGGAGCATGAAATGCGTATTGTTCCTAAGAGTTGATGGTTGGAAAGACAAGGCCGCAACCAGCCGTTACACCTACATCTGATGTACTTTGGGGTGTGTGGTGGTTTGCGAGAGACAACCCAAGCTTGAAAGGGCCAACGGGAAGGAGGGCAAGGAAACGCCACGCTGCTAAGAGCAGAAAACTATGGCAACTTTATGGCCTGTGGACTTCAATTCCCAGAATTCCTGAGCCAGCCCTGAATGAGAATTCCATTCTCATTCATTGAAGTCCATGGCTCATAAAATTGCCATAGTTACCCATCCTTGCATTAAAGAGTTAACTTTTTCCTTTTTTATGACCTGAGCCACCATCCTACCTTGCACTGTAACAGACCTGGGCATTGTATGCGCAAAAGAGTGAGGATGATCATTCAAGAGGGCGATACATAACCAGGCATAAACATGGATTGGCAACGTACTTTTCCCCTGTCAGCCCCACAAAGCGTGCTTTAACCCAGAAAGACAGTCATAAATATAATATTATATATTTATAATAATTATATTTATATATATATATTTATATATATATATATATAT